TCTACCGTTACCAGGTTTAGCAACCGGTTTCCTAATCTAAAGCAAAAACTATCATGAATTATATTATGAATGCTCGGTCTACTACATGGCCATGGAGCTTTTCAATTGACGACATTCCCTATTGGATACAGACAAGCTACAATGCAGTTGCAAAGAAAATTTTACGAAGCCCTAATTCAAGTTCTCAAGCTATTCCATGCAGGAGCAAAATTGTTGATGGAAGACAGGAAAAAAAGGCATCAATACTTGATGATTTATTGTTTTACGATAGGCCATATCAACAGTAATGCACTATGAATAGTTCGAGCAGCAAGCTTACTGAATAGAGTTAAGCTGTTAACAACAACAACCATTGGCATAGGAATAAGAGTAAATGAAGTTAAATCCATTGCAAGTACAAAACGAAAAATGAATCCCCTGGTTTTTGACACAGCTGATACGACATCCCCACCCAAAAATTTCATGCCGAATTACACTATGGTACTCAGCACCACAAAAATGATTAAAATCTCTCTGCCAATCTAGCCGTAACTTGTCTAAGTTTTGAGTATACCTTTCCAGCAGGGGACCCTAAGATGAGGCTGCAAAGAGAATCCCTTGCAACTTTGATATTTTGAAAAGATCCTAGTATGTGAATCTTGGTGTCTGCAATCACAATCCTTGTCTTGGTAGCGTTTTCAATGGCAAACTTTGTTTTGCCACCTTTACCAGACAGTCTCCCAATGGCCCGAGACAAATGCTCACCTCGTAGTGTTTTAACATCCTTAATTTCAAAAGATTCAACATAGAGCTCATCCAAACGCAAAAGAGCAATGGCATCTATCACATCAAAACCTAACATGAAAGCATGCACAAAATCTGCACACTTTTGTAGGTTACTTACGTCAGGTGTGTCTGATCTAGTTTTCAATTCAACCTTTCTGGCTTTGAGGTTCATACGGATATCAATCTTCATTTGCTCGTATACAGGAGTGTAGATTTCCATCCATGCTTTTTTAAGGGGTGAATACCGATGTGGCGGGACCGAGACTTTTCTAAACTGAACTCGACCATCAGACATCTCATGAGCTTTCAAAGGCTCAAACTTTGGCTTTGCAGGCAAAGCGCCCTCATACTTCTGTTCACGTGGAGCTATTTCAACTTCCATTGGTGCAGGGGCTTTGCTGGACTGCATTCTAACTGCACCAACACCAAACTTGGGATATTAGATACAAGTTCAAGATGGAATCTTCTTCAACTTATGAAAATTGAAAATAAGTAAGAAGTTTGATTTATGAAAACAAGATGAATAAGCACAAACATAATTATTCAATTTGCTGTAAAACCGTGATTATCGTTAAGATTAACATAAACATTTACCATGATTTAATCATTAAGATTGACATAAACATTGAAACTACAGAACACCATATTAGATACAGAATCTTCTTAAATTTTCTCAAAAATAAAAGAAAAAACGGAAACAAGTGTATCAATTTACCATACAAAACAATACAAAAGATCCAGGATATGCACTAGCATTAACCATTACATCAAAACGATAATCCTCAAAGTTACATTTATTTCACAAGTCAAATCAATTGAACATACAAAACCTCAAAAACAGAACTCAAAAAACCAAACCCTTAAAAGAGTTTTCATCTTTCCATAGAAAGTTTAGATTTTTCCCATCAACAAAACAAAGAAAACATAAAATCGATACAAATTATTTTTTTTTTTAATCCAATAAGAAACAGTACAAAAACGAAAAAGAAAAGCACTTACCTTCTAATTTTGATACTATGAAATTCAACACCGTCTCCTTGCAGTCGTTCTCTGCTTGGGCTGCAGATGTTGAAAATCTCCTCTCCGAAGGGTTAAGATTAGGGTTTTGTCAAATAAAAGGAGCGAATCACGTGGCTTTATAGCTATTTTTATACGCTTGTAAATACAACGCCGTTTTGTCTCCTTTTTGTTGAGTGGGCTTTAACTTGTTTATAGAGTGTTTGTTTTAGTTTTTGTGATTGAGTATAATTTATTTATGCACAAAACTTAACTGTAGATCCCACCTCAAACCACAACTCTTATCTCTAAAACAAGAGGTAAGAGTTGTAGTTTGAGATGGGACCCATTAAAAAAGCTATAAAAAACAAAAATTATTAGCTTTTATGGTTGAGTTTTGTGCATAAATAGATTATACCTAACCATAATCTCAATCACAAAAACTAAAACAAACACTCCCTAAAACAAACACACACTTAGGCCTCTCTTCTAACTAGCTTCCTAAATAGATTAGTAGGTTAATCCTTTTTTTTTTTTTAGATTAAAATGTTATATTGTTTTTTTTTCAAAAAAATTTAACAAGTGTTTGATTAAGCGGGTCATTGATTAATCTAATTTTTCAATTAGCTTTATTTATTATTTTTAAAAAATTTAGCTTAAATCATATTCTAATTGGACTTGGTCCAAATTTTTTTGACTACAAGAAAGATATAAAATTTAGCTATACAATTGTGATATTCTATATTAAATTCCCATTGAATTTGTATTCACAAATGTTCTGATTTAGTTTAGTTAATGCTAATCCACATCTTCAAGTTGAAAATGAAAGACTTGGTTTGATAATTAAGAAAATATGTTAAAGGATTCTTGAACTAATTAAGATTTAAACCTTAAACTAAGATGTTAATTTAGGAAGCAAATGGGAGACTTTGAGCTGTTGTCTGCTGATGGGATCAATGGCATGAAAGCAATGAATTTGTTGACAGGCACTCTAGCTGGAAAATATTACTTAGTGTTGTTATCGTTCCTGCTCAAGGAAAAGGAAAGGATTGAATGGTCCAGCAGCTTCTGATTTGTCCACTCTTTCACTTCCAGCTAAATCCAGTACGATGTAGGCAGCCTTCTAGAATAGGTTCAGAAACAACTCCAGCTTTTCCATAGACATGAATGTCGGATTTATATTCATAATGTAGAAAAATAAGCAGAAAAACTCGAATGAATGTCGAGATTTTAGTCTCAGCAAATACTGAAACTTTAGCTGGTGCCTTACTAGTTACCGTGTATGTGCCTGGAGCTCCAACATTCTTTACGCGGCGAGTGACAGTTACTGGGGCATTCAGACAAGGAATTTTGATTGAAGTCAGCTAAAGTAAAATCCTTGGGACATGTATGATTTCCATTTGAGAACTCTAGCTATGAGGCGTTGTTATAGTCATGGGCACATAGGAAGTTGAGGTAATCATTCACGGTTGTGCCATAAACTAGGCCAGGATCCGCTGCAAGGTTTGGTTGCGCGTGTCCTGCTGCATGTGCAAATGGAGTTGCTCGGAGGCCATTGACAATCTGATGCTTGTCGAATGGCTGGCCAGATTGCCCTATAGCTTCAGTTTAAGCAGCAATTACATCTACCCCAGGTGCAGTGAAATCAGGCTGCAAGAGGAATTGTTCATCATTAGATATAAAACAGAGAAATGAATGATCGTTCATCTTCAAAGCAAAGACTGCCTACTATCTAGTGAATGGACTACTGAACTAACCTTGTATAAAACTTTGAATGAATGTCGAGATTTTGGGTTGACCTGCATGTGAGACTAAGTCTTATAACTAGGCCTCAAGGAATCTCCTCTAGTTTGTATTGGCTAATTAACCCATACTCTGCTACAGACCATATATTTTTTTCAATAAAAAAATATATAGGGTTATCCAACGTTTTTTGTTTTTACATGAAAAAATTTCTAAGTATTAATTGAAAACTTTATACAGGAATCAATTTAAATAAAATATTATTAATAATAAATAAAGATAAAATTTGAAAAATTAAGAGAGATATGGAGATGGAGATATTTACCCTAACAGCATGAGACTTTGACTTAATTGTATTTAATACAATAAAAGAAAAAAAATCATGTAAAGTTATACATATTAAAAATATCATTAAAAAAATAAATATATTTTTATTTTTAAAAATTAATTTCATTTATATAAAATATAAAATATTTTTTATAGATGAATTAGAATAATATTTTCAAAAATTAAATGCATATAAAATAACTAAAAAATTAAGCATTATTTAAAAAATGCTAAATAAAAAAAATCAAAGAGAATAGGTATTAATTTAAATATAAATCATAACATTATTTTAAAAAATACATATTAAAAAAGGCATCAATTAAAAAAAATCAAAATTAAAATAAAAAAGCCAAACATTACTAGGCCTTACAAACTCATTTTCAATAAATTGTTTTGACACTAAACACTTACAAAACAACTAAATATCCTAAACACCTAAATAAATTCATTTATAGTCTAAAAAACCTAAAAAAATATTTAAAAATTTGAAATAAATCAAAAACAAAAATACCAAGCTCAAATATTTTTTTAAATAATTTGAAGGTGAAAAAAATACCTTAGGTGAGCTCTGTTTACCAAATAAAACTTGTAAATACTACAATAAACTATTTTGATGGTTGAAATCAAATCAATATCAATAATATTTTTTTTTTAACTGTTAGAATACAACAACTTTCTCTTCTCTCTTAAACCTAGAACTTAAAAAAATAAAGAAAATAATACAAAAGTGGTTGTTTTCTAAATCATTGAAAGTTAGAGGGAATGAATTTTTATAATTTGGAAAGTATGATAACTAAGTTAACATTTCACTGAGAAGTTTTAAAACATCATCCATCTCATTTACGTTTTGGTTCTATGTCTTTCATTTTTTTAAAAATAATTTTAGTTAAATTAAGCTTCAATTAAGCCCTTAAAAAGCAAAATAAAGAAGAAGAAGAAGAAGAAGAAAAGGGACAATAATAATAAAAAAAAAGAAGAAGAAGAAGAAGAAGAAAAGGGACAATAATAAAAAAAAAAAACTCACGGGCACAGAAAATCTATTGTGCCTATGAGTGTGTGGAGGTGAACAATACTTCCCCCACTCCTTTTAGGATGTTGTTAATTCATGGTATGGGAAAATTACATGAAAAATAATGGAGGGAAAAAAATTGAATTGAATCAGTGGGAAGATTATAGATGAAAGTACAGTTGTGTGTACTGAAATTGTCATCTACAATGAACATCTACGCATGCTTCACCACAAGAGGACTCCTGACACGATGGCCGTTGCTATCTGACCACGTAAGGTGCCCAAAGGTGTAGTCTTTCGGCGTTCCATTCACTACAGGCTTAAAAGTAACCTTGAAAATCTTCTCTTCACCGGCTTTCTTGAATTCCAAGCTTGAAGGTTCAACAACCACTGAAACCTGAGGTGGTGCCTTGGCTTTGACTGTGTATGTGCCCGGAGCCCCTACGTTCTTTACTCGGCGAGTAACAGTTACTGGGCCATTAAGATCAGGTACTGTGATTGAAGGATAGTTGAATTCAGCCAAGCTAGCTTTCTCAGGACATTTATAAGGCACACCTGAGAATTCTAGTATGAAGGTACTGTTATAGCCATGGGCACATAAGAAGTTGAGGTAATCAATCACGTTCGTGTCATAAACTAGGCCAGGATCTGCTGCAAGATTTGGATTCACATGTCCTGCACCATATGCAAATGGTGTCGCAGGTTGGCCATCAGCATCGAGTATTCTCTTCTTGGAGTTAGATTTTGTTTTTGCTGCGCAGATTAAAAAACACGAATTCGGTCCAATTAGCAGAGCTATAACAAGATGCTGCAGATTTTGCCAGTTTAAATTGATCAAAAGTACGCACCTGTTGTCATGATTGCAGATTTAATAGCAGCGGGACTCCAATCTGGATGGATAGCTCTAAGGAGGCCAACAATGCCGGAAACATGAGGACATGACATTGAAGTGCCGGACATGGTGATGTAAGGTGTCCGACGCTTGTCAAAAGGTAGTTCAGATGGCCCTATAGCTTCCGTGAAAGCAGCGATTACATCAACCCCAGGTGCAGTGACATCAGGCTGCAAGAGAGAATTGGAAAATAATGGATAGTTCATATCGAGAGCAATGAATGACAAGAGATCGTACAATTGAACCAACCTTAAGTATTGCTGGCTCAATTACACTAGGTCCCCTTGATGAGAATGCAGCCATCACAGGATTCGGCACGACTCCTAAATCTGTATGTACTGGACTAATTGATGCTGTAGGATTTCTATTTCAATGTGCATAAAGAGCATGCGTAAGTCTCCAATAGCCTTTGAGATTGACAGGATTTAGGTGAAAGGGAGCAAGCTGTGAAAAACAGAACAAAAAGGATTGTTACTTGGTCGACTTGATGTAGTCCATTACAGCTTGACCATCAGTGAACGTGAGGTGGGCAGCGGGGAGCACATGAGGATCGGACAAAAGTTCACTTCCACTTTCTTCATTGTTTGCCAATATCATCCCAACGGCACCTGCAAGCTCAGCCTCATGTCCTTTTACTACTCTACTGTTTATTCCTCGAAGGCATACTATAATCTTCCCTGCAACCTTCTTGGGATCAAGTGTTCCATTTTGGCATAGCTGACTGCACAGTTTCATGCAAATCAACGATATGGCTAACCCACTGATTTGCAAACTACATAAATGTTCGACATTCCTGAATTGTGATATTTGTAGATTAGAGTAGTTACTTACGCATCTGCAGATGATGCTGTAGGAAGCCCTGCTTCTGCGGCATTGATCAATGGATAGAATTTCCCAGCTGGTAAGCTTTTACTTGCAACACTCGATCCCTGAAACGAGAATAAGGTTATTGAGTGTGTTTTAGTTCCAAGTTTCAACAATATTTTAACGGCATAGTACCACTGATAGGCTTAATGACAGACAATTATGGTAGATAATCCTAGTTCTTTACAAATACCTTGACAAACTTCTTGTTGCCAAGAGTAACAGTGGCTGAAAAATCACGATCCAGTGTACTAGCACCAATCGTAAACAACCAGGGAGCCCCATTAGCTACGGACCCAGCATCTGGTCCGCTATTGCCGGCTGAAGCAACGACGGGAATGCCTTTCTTGATGGCATGGAAGGAGCCAATGGCCATTGCATCTTGCAAAAACTCTACAGGAAAACTTGGACCCAACGACATTGAGATCACATCAACTCCATCACCTATGGCAGCATCAAAAGCTGCCAAGATATCTGCATCAAAGCATCCACCGTTATCTGAAGGCCAGCATACTTTGTAAGCAGCCACGTGAGCTTTTGGCGATCCACCTTTAGCAGTTCCATTCCCATTACCAAAAATACCCGCTCCAGGAACAAAGCTACCACCAGCTGTAGATAAGGTGTGGGAACCGTGGCCCTCGGTGTCACGGGCAGTATTCCACTCTGTAGGGATTGGAGTAGGACTCGCAGAAGCAAAACCTTTGTTGAAGTACCTTGCACCAATAAGCTTTCTTGTATAGCACAAAAAATGTTTCGTCAAAATCTACACCATTCAGTTTGTTTGAGAAACTTGATCAATAAGAGAAAGAGAACTGACTTGTTGCACTTAAATCCACCTCCAGCCTGACAAGTTCCCTTCCATCTTGATGGCACAGGGCCCATTCCCTCATCATTAAAGCTCTTGGATTCTGGCCATACACCTATAGTGATAGTACGCAGCCAAAAAATGTAAGACAGTATTACAATTGGCAAAGAACCAATATGAACACAGTTAAGATTTTTCCCTTGGAGCTTCTTGGACAGAACCTTACCGGTATCAAGATTTGCAATGATTACGCCTTCACCAAAGTTTGCCTTCTTCTGAAGCGAGTTGAGGGTAGGTGCTCCATTTGCTTCAAATCCAATAAATTCCCATGAATGTGTTGTGTGCAATATTCTTTCTTGGTTCTCGAAAACCGATATCACTCCCGGATTACCTACATTTGCGAAGAAAGAAACAATGAACCTATTTGATCCTGGAATTTTTAAAAACTCAAAACAAAGTTTTACGATAAAGAGAACAAACAGAGAAAAAGCAGAGCGAAATACAGTATCCGAAACTAAATTAACATGGCAGAGAAATAGATACAAATTTGTAATTCCTACCTTTCATGGCAGCTACTTGAGCTTCATTGAGGTATGCAGCGAAACCGTTGAGACATCTAGTGTAAGAGTAAATCATCACATCCTGGACATTCTCTTTGCTGCATAAGAATGTGACAGTAATGAATAAAGGTTGATTGTTTAATCGAATTCAGTAACTTTTCGACAGAGCAAACCTCTCCAGGCATGATCCAAGAAGATCAAAGTGTGATTTTGTCATTTTCTGCACATCTAATTCTGAAAAAGAACTCTCTCCAGTTGATGATAATGGGGAAAACGAAGACTCTCCCATGTAAACTATGTAAGACTGCATGAAACAAAAAGCATCAATAATTCCACTACTAAGCGTGGATCAATAGCATTTACATGTAGGGCAATGAAGAGGGAGACAATCTTGCCTTTTTGGCAGCACAAGTCTCAACGAGATAAATGAGGAGGACAGAGAGAACTAAGGGGGAGAACCTTAAGAGCCTCATTGTTTCTTTCTCAATTGCAAACTTTCCTTTCAGAGTAGAATTGCAATATGCTCTGATTTACCCTGTTTTTAAACTCTTTTTTTTTGCCCATTCTATTTATTTTTAGTCAAATCTCACTTCTATATTTTTGGTGTGGACAGCCATGGAATCCTTAATTTTGATGGATAAGAATGATTCTAGGAACAAATCTAACATTATTTGAGCAAGAACTTGTCAAGCAATTCAAAACAACTACTATTTCTCGTACAACTCTTTCTTCCAAAAAAAGAAAAGAGAGAGAAGACAACGAATGGAGCAAGAAAATTTCTTGCTTCTCCACTTATTCCTCCCACTTATGGATTGACAGCCCGAAATAAGGTCATTATGATGGGTAATTTTTTTTTATATTTATATCACATTGATTATCTATTAATAATAAAAATTATATATTTATATTTTATTTATCAAATTTTAGGTAATTATATAAATATTCATTGTATGACCATCATTTGTATTTTCCAATATTTTCAAATGTGATTATTAATTTCTTAGAACTATCATTATAAAACTTATTTATTTTTTCTATCACTAATTAAGGTTTTGATATGGTTTTTTAATTAAAATAAAATATAAAAAATTCTGATATGGTTACAAAGAGTGAGTGGGTTTCTGTTCTCTAATTATTATATTAATCATCAAACAAATTATTATATTAATCATCAAACAATTTCAACACAAATAATGAATGAAAATTAAAAAAAAAACCTCAATGAAAATTAGTGAATGGAGAGCAACACTTGAATATAATAATAGAATGATGGAAAAGGTTGATGAAACTACAATTATGCATGCATCAATACAACGTAGAAATTGTTTTTGGCGATGATACACAAATTTTTATTTACAATGAACACCTTCTCTTTGTGAGGCGAGGCTTTTAATCTCTTGTTCTTCCACCATTTCCAATTAATTAACTATAAACTAACATAAGTCACTTTTTTACTGTGTAAATCCACAGTAATTTTTATCCTTATAGGTATTATTGGTTTGAGAGGTATGCAAGTCTTTTTCATGGGACTCATAAGTAATTAAATTAAAAAAGTGTTGATTAGTAATTTTATGTTTTTTGTATAGTATAATTACCAATTAATCCTTAAAAAAATTCCACTGGTTTATGAGATTTTTGAGTTTTTTATATTTTTTGTATGTGTCAAATGTTCCTAAAAAATAAACTCTTTTTACTAAGAATGCAACTTCATTTTAGATTTATTGCTATGATTTTTATTTTTATAATTTTAATATAGAGTTAGTAGTGATTTAATATTTTAATATATATAAATTAATTTTAAATTTAAAAAGTTGTTGGCTCGCCCACACATTTCAAGTGCCGCATGCGATATCTGCATGACATTGAATGCCACTATCCGAGATGATATTCAATGCACCTCACCACCTTTGTCATAGTGGTGAGGCATGTGTTTGCCAACAACTTATAGAGGGGTGCTAATAAGAACCTTTTCCATTCCTTCATCTTTTCCCTTTGTCTACCTAGAAAAATATGTTGTTCATTGTAAAAAAAAGAATTCAACTATTTGTTTGTTAAGTTAAATTTGATTTTTATTATTTTGATTGTAATACATTTGGTTTTGAATCAATTAATGAGTTAATTTATTTTTTTTAATTTTATCCCTTAATACTTTATTTCTATATTAGGTTTGATCATTATTCTTTTAATTGGAATATATTTGGTGTTGGATCATTTATTAAGTTAATTATTTTTTTCATTGCATCCTTTTACACTTTTTTTTTATATTAGATTTTGTTCTTATTATTTTAATTATAATATTTTTGGTTTTAAATTCTTTATTGAATTCATTTGTCTTCGGATTTCATCTTTTGACATTTTATTTTTATATTAAATATGATTTTCATTCTTTTAATTGTTATTTTTAGTTGTTCCTATCCTTTTCTTAACTGAAATTGTTTTTCAATTTCACCTCTTATGATTTTTTTTCTTTTTATGTCAAATTTAGTTTTTTTGTCTTTTCAAATCTTTATTTTTCAAATCTTTTTTGATTTATTTTTTCATGTTTATCCCTAATTATTTTGATTGGTTTAGAAATTTACATTAATTCTTTTTTGGTTTTGCTTTTTATTGTCGTTGTTGCAATGATTCTGAACAACAAAAATAACAAAGGATAATGCTTGTGTTTAAGAAGAGATTGATGAATGAAAAGCTTGGATACTTTATTCATAACTGCAGCTCAATTTATAGAGTTGATACATAACAAACTCCTACGATCATGGTCCTATATTCAAGCCATGATCAATTGATAATGGAAATAACAGAGTAGCGAAATAACAGCAAGAACAAGAGAATAGGAATGGAATTGACTAAATCAAAAATTAAATAAAGAATAAAATTCCAGCTCAGCAGTCCTGAACATTATTTCTAACA